AGGGTGGTGGGTGTTGGCCTCTTCACTCTTAAGACCAGAGGGAATGGCCTGAGGTTGCACCAAGGGAGGGCTTGGCTGGGTGTTGGGAAGAGTTTCTTCACCCAAAGGGTGGTCAGGCACTGGCACAGGCTGCCCAGGGAGGTGGTGGAGTCACCATCCCTGGAGGGATGACAAAACTCTGTGGGTGAGGCACTTCAGGACACGCTCCAGAGGGTGGTGGGTTGTGCTTTCTGTGGTGTGGTGGTGGGTTTTGTCTGGGGAGTTGGACACACGGAGGTTGATGGGCTAGATGATCTTTCAGAGGTCCCTTCCAACCCCTAGGATTCTATGGTTGGACACGGTGATCTTAAGAGGTCTTTTCCGTGGGTTTGGCTCCTCTGCCAGCCCTGGAGCACTGGGGACATGGCAGCCAGGAGGTGACACTGGGGACATGGCAGCCTGGAGGTGACACGGGGCTTGTTCTCCACCCCACCAGCCACGTCCCCCTGCACTCAGCCCTGGACCACAGCAGTGAGATCCACACCAGCTCCCTGCGCTCCGTCTGCTTCTCCCCTGAGGGGCTCTACCTGGCCACGGTGGCAGATGACAGGTGAGTGAACCCTCCTTTTGGGGACCTCCAGTGGGAAGAGGAGGACACCACCAAAGCAGACCAGCAGAGCTCAGCTCCCCAGCCCAGGTGCTGCGTGGACGTTGGCAACACGTTCCCCTCCCTTTCTCCTCAGGCTCCTGAGGATCTGGGCGTTGGAGCTTCGCTCTCCGGTGGCCTTTGCACCCATGACCAACGGGTTGTGCTGCATCTACTTCCCACACGGAGGTTTCATTGCCACAGGGTGTGTATTCCAGGGAGGAGAGCTGAGGAACAACAGGCTGATCCCTCCGTCTTGCAGCTTTGGGTCTGCTCAGGGCTTCCCTGAAGGGTACAGGCTGGTTTCCAGGGCTGGGAAAAACGTGGTTGGGGATATATTTGGGGAGTTTCTACCCTGTGCTCAAGGCTTTTTTTCTTTTTTTGGATCCCCTTTGCAGGACCAGAGATGGCCACGTCCAGTTCTGGAGTGCCCCAAGGGTCCTCTCCTCGCTCAAGCACTTGTGCCGCAAAGCTCTGCGCACCTTCCTGACCACCTACCAGGTCCTGGCACTCCCCATTCCCAGGAAGCTGAAGGAATTCCTCACCTACCGGACCTTTTAAGGCCACAGGGACAAGTGGAGGCAGGAGGGGAGAACCCTCTGCCCAGCCTTGGGGGGGCTCCTCCTGGAGCAGGAGGCACAGGAGCAAGGACTTGTTGCTCTCCTGGGCTTGGGGCTGCGTCCGTGAGTGTGGAGGGGTATTTTTTTAGGGTGTAATAATAACTAGAACCCAGCAAAAATACATGCAGAGGGTGAGGGGCAGGGCTGTGGTGGCCCCAAAGGGGACGTGGGTCCCCCTGCTGTCTGCACGTTTTGGGTCAGGGGCTTTTGCTTCCAAGTGCAATGTCCTGGGTGAAGGTTGGCAGCTCTGAGTGAGGCTTTGGTCCTTCCTACCAAGATGGGGCTGCAAGTGTCCCCCCCACCCCACAACTGACCCTCAGCAGGGCCACCTCATGCTGAAGCTTCACTCCTGGAGGACTGTGGGCTCTTGCCACTCACCTGGTGGGACAAACCCGAGCAGGTCTCTGCAGAGTAGATGACAAGAGATGACAGAATAAAAGCTGATTCCTCACAGGTTGGTTTTTTTTTGCTCTTGGCTCCTAGAGGTGACCTGGGAATAATTGGCAGGGCAGGCTCCTGCCCTGGATGTTGAGGTGGCAGCAAGTTCCTCATCTTGGAGCTACAGCAGACCAGTGTCCACCAGTGGGTGCTGGGTGGGGGGATCAGCCCCCCCCCCATGACATGAGGTTTCCCACAGCCCCCAGCTCCCATTCCTCTTGCTTTTCATCCCCTGCTGGAGCTCAGCCCCCTGGCAGCCCCATTTCCAGACCCTCTGCTTGTCTCTCCAGGTGTCTGGAGTGACATCAGGTGCTTTGGGTCCCCTGCACACTGGAGGGCTCAGTCTCCATCCCCCAGGTGGATGGAGAGGACAGAGAATGTCTCCTCTAAACTCCTCAGGGTGTTCTCCCTCAGGAGCAGGTTGCTGGGTGGGCCTGTCCTGGTGTCAGCACCTGGGGAGCTCTGCCTGGCAAGCAAGGGAGGTTCTGCAGGCAGGTGACAGCAGCTGGACTTCAGCCTGGGTGGCTGTGACACCTTTGGGACATCTTAACCACCCCCTGTTGGTCTTTGCTGCACAGGAGGAAAAAGACAAGTGCAACCTGCTGGGCTTTGGAGGCATCTGTATTTCCTGATGAGGAACAACTCTCAGGCCCTGGCTCAAGGCTTGCCAGAAGGGCAGGGAGCACCAGGCTGAAGATCCTTGCCAGGCTGGATCATGGAGAACCTGGACAGGAAGGATCCAACCAGCAGGACTCAGGCTTCGGCCACAATCAGGTCCCTGGTGACTTGGAACGCAGCGATGAGGGAGCTCAGCTGAATCTTCTCACTGGTCCCAGCAGCCAGTCGGTACCTGGAGCAGGGAAAAGGAGAAGTTGGGGCCCTTCCACCAAGCTCTGTGTCCCCACCAAGCGGGTGGGATGGCTGGGGGCACCTGCTGGTGTCCTCCACTCACTCGATATCTGCCATTTTGATCAGCAGCTGGATGCGGATGGAGGGTGGGAAATCGACTGTGGAGAGAAGGAGATGGCACGTGGCACTGTGGGCTGGGGGACACGGTGTGTCCCCTCCCCCTGCCCTGGGGACAGCCCCTCAAGCCCCCACCTCTGTGCACGAAGAGGTGGATCTCAGTGAGGATGTCCTGCAGGGCCAAGCCCTTCAGCGTCTTCAGCTCCATGATTTCTGAGATGAGAGCGAGTGAAGGGCTTTCTCCCAGGCTTTTCCCTCCCAGATCCTGTTCCTCATCCCCACCACCACCCCTGAGGACCCCCACCAGCCCTGAGCAGCCCCCAGCCCAGCCGGAGCAGGAGGGGATGGGATGGGAAGCCCGGGCAACGGGCTCGGCAGCAGCGGGAATGAAAGCCCTGGAGCAGCAGAGGGAAGAGGATACTGCGATAGGCAGCGGAGAAGTCCTGGTTGAGCATCCAGTCCAGGATGTTGGCAATGTCAGACTTGAGGGGGTGCCCCGTGCAGGTGTAGACGTTCTCCTCTGTCACCTTCCCAAAGGCCATGGTGGTGCTCTGAGGAAGAGGAGGGATATGAAGAGCTCGAGCCTTTCCCTCCACCCACCCCTCCCTCCAGGGCAGCTTCTGGCTTCCAGCAGGAGGAGACCACAGTGCACACCTGCAGGATGTTGAGGGCCCGGCGCATGTCCCCGCTGGAGAGGGTCACCAGGGCCTTCATCCCATCCTCACTCACATCCACCCTGGAAAACAAGGCCCGGAGCTGCAGGAGGAGCCGGCGCTGGCCCAGGGAGAGAGAACCATGGAAAAAACCAAGCCTGCTGCTCCTCCTCCTTGGATTAAGGGGAAGAAAGGGGTAGGGAGGAGAGCATGGAGCCCCCCCCCGTGCTCACCCCTCCTCCTGGATGACGTGCTGCAGCCTGGGCACCATCAGCTCCGGGGTGAGGGGCCCGAAGCGGAAGCGGGTGCAGCGGGACTGCAGCGCCGGGATGATCTTGGAGAGGTAGTTGCAGATGAGGCAGAAACGGGTGTTTTCGGTGAACTTCTCGATCACTGCCCGGAGGGAGGGAGTTGGGGAGAGGTTTGGGCCTTGGGGTCGTTGCCTGGGCTTGGGCTGGCAGCCCAGGCTGGTCCCCCCAGTGCCCCTCACCTCGCCTCAGGGCGTTCTGAGCGTCCTGGGTCATGGCATCAGCTTCATCCAGGATGACCAGCTTGAAGCCTTTCCTTCAAAAGGGAGGAAGAAATGGGGGTGGGAGGGGGACACACACACTTCGATCCAGGCTGTTGGTGCTGGAGGAGGGACACCTCTCCCCAGCTTGAGCCCCAGGACGGGCCCAGGGATCCCTCCTTTCCCTCCAGCATCTTCATCATCCTCATCACCACCTGCTGGCTGGACACCCCTGGCTCCTTCCCCCCCCCCCCCCTCTCTGGGAGCCCCCCCAGAGCAGGTTGGGTTGGTCAGGGAGGTGAGGAAGGGGCCACAGGGAGCTTTGGGAAGCTCCAACCCACCCCTTACTTGAAGATGGTCCTGGTGCTGGCAAAGCTCAGGATGGGCCCCCGGACGATGTCGATTCCCCGGTCGTCGGAAGCGTTGAGCTGCAGGGAGGGGTGGTGGGTCCACAGCCCAGGGGGTGGGACCCCAAATCATCCCCCTCCCCCCAAACCCCACTCACCTCCAGCACCATGGAGCCGAACTCCCGCTCCCGGTAGAGCTGCCGGGCACAGGCCAGGATGGTGGAGGTTTTCCCAGTGCCAGGGGGGCCATAGAGGAGGAGGTGAGGGAGTCGGTCCTCACTGATGAACCTCTGCACTGCGGGTGGGATCACAGGATCCCGGGATCACAGGATCGTGGGATCACGGGATTCTGGGATCATGGGATCACAGGATCATGGGATCACAGGATAGTGGGATTACGGGATCACAGGATCGTGGGATCACGGGACCATGGGATCACAGGATCGTGGGATCACGGGATCGTGGGATCACAGGATTGTGGGAT